AAAGGGGGTAACCCCAATTATGTTAATGTTTAAATAATAAATTTAAGTAATTTTATAGAAATTACTTAAATATTAAACCACTTGTGAAAATTCAATTCATTTCTTTGTCAGAATAAACATGTAGTTCTAATTAGCATGTATAAACTGCTAATGTGCATTGCCATAGTCCATACAGAATCATGTGTAAAGTCCATGTGGTTTTTTTTTTTTTTTTTTTTTTTTTTTTTTTTTTTTTTTTTTTTTTCAGATGGAATCTTGCTTTGTTGCCCAGGCTGGAGTGCAATGGAATGCTCTTGGCTCGCTGCAACCTCTGCCTCCCGGGTTCAAGCGATTCTCCTGCCTCAGCCTCCCGAGTAGCTGGAATTATAGGCACCCACCATCACAACAAGTTAATGTTTGTATTTTTTAGTAGAGACAGGGTTTCACCATTTTAGTCAGGCTGGTCTTGAACTCCTGACCTCAGGTAATCCACCTGCCTCCGCCTCCAAAGTGCTGGGATTACAGGCGTGAGCCACCGTGCCCAGCCTAATGATATCTTAAAGATGATTTAATTTGTGTTCATTTAATCAATATCGTGGCCTAGTTCAAAACAAATACTCATTGCAAGTGGCATATACATTGTGTAGCAGTTAAGAGCACAGGTTTGACAGTCAGATCAACCTAGGTTCAAATTCTGACTGTCTCATATCATGAGCAAGAGTTTAATTTCTCTGAGACGGAACAACACCTAACTCCAGGCTTTAATGAAATAATCCCTATTTAGTACTAATCTCACTAACAGGCACATAGGATATGCTCAATAAATGCTGGCTATTTTTAGCTACTAATAATACTTAACAAAAATTCATTTGTTGAATAGAAATGAATGAGTCTGAGCATTGATTTTTCAAATGTTAAACTTTGTATTCATCTCATCTTATATCTTTTCAGTAAAATCTGGATTTTGACCTTCCTGTCTTTAAAGATAATATGCTTTGGAAGGTATGCTTTTATCAGTTGTGTTCATCAGAACAATCATTTCCTTCTGACACTGTGTTGTGCAAATGTTTTCTTTATTTCTATTTAATCAGATCCCTTTTGTTTTTGATGATGTCTACATAGTCAGGAATCTCTCTCTTGCACAGCTGTTATAAGCAAAGAATTCATGTGTATATAAGGTACAAAATACAGCCTCAAGCTAATTTTTAAAGTCCATGCTCTCAGAAGTATTTATTCAATCATGATTTGATTCTTATTTTATAGCATCTGGTTTGTCTAGGATTAGGTTCTTATAATAGTTTAACCTTTTCTATTTGATCGGTGCTTCAATGTTTTAGCCAATATTTGCTCAATTGCTTGTCAATTCAAGTAGGCTTTATGTTTGCTGCATTATGTGTACTGTGTGGGAATACTGTGATGAGTACAAAGGTGAAAAGATATAGTTTGCGTCTAGTGGCAAACAAATGAGATTAATATTTATTTCTTAAGACAGACAAATAAGCTGAAAGATAAATGTGCAAACAAATGTGATCCTCCTGCCCCAGCCTCCCAAAGTGCTGGGATTACAGGTGTGAGCCACCATGTCCAGCCCCAGAAAGAAAATTTTAAAGGGGAAGATAAATAATACTATCATAGAGCTAAGATAAGCCATTGTACCCATAGAACAAAAATAGATAATGGTCAAACTGAAAAAAAGAAAGGCAAGGAAAAATTAGATTACAACCGAGAGGTCTTAGAAATTAAAAACTGGATAATTGTGGCACAGACTGATAGTTGCTACCCTCTCTCTCCTTCTTTCTTAGGAAAAAAAAAAAAAGAAAAAACACATAATTTTATGTAAAGTAGCAATATGACTGGTTAAAAAACAATTTCTCAGCTTTCTTTGGCAGTTTGTTGTAATCACATGACTAAATTCCAACCAATGAAATACGAGATGTGTGGAAAGGGACTTCTGAGGAAGCCTCCTCCAAATGACTCCGTTTAGAGGTTCACCCTTTTGCCCGTTTTCCCCTCCCTTTTTTCCAGCGCCTGGAATATAAACGTAATGGCATGACCCCAGCAAGCACATGCCGGATCACAGGACAATATACGAAGGATGATGGTAAAGCAAATGATAGAGGAGCATGGGTCACTTAGGACCATAGAGCTACCATGGCAGCCCTGGGCTGTCCACCTCTAGCTCCTTGTGAATGCACTCGTTGAAGTAGCTATTATTTTGTGTTTTTTATTATGCTCGGTCAAAACTAATCATGACTGATATAATCAACATTTTTAAAAAAATCATTAAAAGCCTTGGGAGACAAAAATCTATGAAATATCCCAGAAAAAAACTAAACCAAAACAAAACAAATAAATGAACAACAGGCAAGAGAAAAGGAAAGAAAATTAGAGAACCATTTAAGAAGATACAAAATTGAGATGATAGAGCAGGGATGGAGGGATGGGAGTGGGGAATTTTCAAAGAAAGGCTATGTAAAAGCATGAATTCTCTAAGAAATTTCTTGTTTCCTGGAGCTGACACACAAGTGTGGTAACAAGAGGAATCCTAAGACAACACCTTTGTAGCAGACCTAGCAAATGAACAATCTCGAGTGGAACAGAAGGATGGAGCCATAGGACAGAGAGGGGAAAGAAGTGAATATATTTCTGAAGAATTGGAGCATTTTGAAAATAACAAGGAGAGGCTTTGACAGGTCTGCCGGAGCCTTTAAAGAAAAATGATGACAGAAAATCAAGCAAAGAAAAAACTAAGGCAATTATTAACACCAGGAAACAGCACAAGTTGAACAAAAAAGGAAATGTAATCATAGCGTAACATATGGCTCATAACTGAGCAATAGTTACCTAGTCATGATAACAAGAATACTAGCTTTTAATTTTAAAACAAACAAACCTGTGGGATAACTACACTGGAGGCATTAGATGAGGAGAAGTCAGAGTGGCATGTAAGAGTTAAATGCAGGCAGGGCGCAGTATCTCATGCCTCTAATCCCAGCACTTTGAGAGGCTGAGGTGGGCAGATCACTTGAGGTCAGGAGTTCGAGACCAGCCTGGCCAACATGGTGAAGCCCCATCTCTACTAAAAATACAAAAATTAGCTGGGTGTAGTGATGAGTGCCTGTAGTCCCAGCTACTTGGGAGGCTGAGGCAGGAGAATCACTTGAACCTGGGAGGTGGGGGTTGCAGTGAGCTGAGATCGCACCAAATCCTCATTTACCATAAGAGGAAGTCAAAAGATGATGTTGGAAACTGACATATCAAGAAGTAGCAATGCAAATACATTATTTAGTAATAGATCAACTGAAGAAGCAAATTTTTGGTTCAAAGTGGGATTTTCTGGGAATGGGACTGGGAGTAGAGAATGGTAAAAGGGGTGGTATAAAAGAGTAGTAACTACTGTTTCTGATTATGTGACTTTTAATATTATTTGGCTTATTAAATTATACAGGTATTACATTGATTAAAATAAAATAAATTTAAATTTTTAATTAAAAGCTTCCCAGGAATTTAGAGGCAAAGAAGAAAAAACAGATTTCCAAGAAAATGTAGGCCGGGCACAGTGGCTCAAGCCTATAATCCCAGCACTTTGGGAGGCCGAGGTGGGTGGATCACAAGGTCAAGAGATCGAGACCATCCTGGTCAACAAGATGAAACCCTGTCTCTACTAAAAATACAAAAATTTGCTGGGCATGGTGGTGCGTGCCTGTAATCCCAGCTACTCGGGAGGCTGAGGTAGAATTGCTTGAACCCAGGAGGCGGAGGTTGTGGTGAGCCGAGATTGCGCCATTACACTCCAGCCTGGGTAACAAAAGCAAAACTCCATCTCAAAAAAAAAAAAAAAAAAAAAAAGAAAGAAAGAAAATGTAAAACACTAGTTTTGGGGGATTTGTTTTGTTTTTGTTTTTGTTTTGAGATGGAGTTTCATTCTGTCAACCAGGCTGGAGTGCAGGGGCATGATCTTGGCTCACTGCAACCTCTACCTCCCAGGTTCAAGCAATTCTACTGCCTCACCCTCATGAGCAGCTGGGATTACAGGCACCTACTACCCTGCCTGGCTAATTCTTTATATTTTTAGTAGAGACAGTGTTTCACCATGTTGGTCAGACTGGTCTCGAACTCCTGACCTCAAGTGATTCACCCTCCTTAGCCTCCCAAAGTGCTAGGATTACAGGCGTGAGCCACCGCGCCCAGCCAAAACCCTAGCTTTTACATATCTCCTTCTATGTTCCTCATCTCCTCCTCTTTGCCCACACCTGTGTGTTTTTATCTCCAGGAGCAGTATAATGTAGAGGAAAGTACATGGGCCTCAAATACACACAATACAATGCACGGTGATGTCCAGCTGTGCAAAGAATCAGCTCAGAGTCTTCTCTGTGACCTCATGGGGATACAAGGTCTTCATTTGTAAGACTGAAAATGCTAATATTTATTATATTACACAAAGTAATAGATGTAAAGCAACTGGAATATGGTAGGTCTTTGAAAATGTGAGTTCTCACTTTCAGAATTTCTCATGCCCTATATGCCTCTCTGTGAGTGTCGCTCTCTGTGTCTCTGTGTTTATAGATTTGAGAAAATAAAGCTTAAGCCACCTTCCCTCCATCCCCTCTTGCCTGGTTTGGGACGTTCATCTTCCATAAAGAAAACATTGTGTCCTTGACACATAGTTTATCACAACACACTTCCACTTCTCTTGTAAGGAGAGATTGATTTTACTCGCATTGGCCCTATACTTCAGTTCATTTTTGAGTGAAAGAGATTGATACCAAATTACTAGCTGTGGCTCCCAGGTCTAATATACAGGAGTAGATAGAAATCACTGTTTAAACTTAACTATGTATAACGGATAAGAATTACAAATAATTCAGCTGATACCCGAATATAATGTTTTAAAATAAATATTGCAGAAAATCAACAGGGATTTTAAACCCAGCTATAACTGGTTTATGATAACTGGGTAGCTAGGATAATCAGTGGTCATCCCCAAATAAGAGACCCCAGTGTGATGCCAGAGCACTCACCTTCTCCACTGGGCTCAGATTGGTTGCACAGCTCAGACACAAGTTGCTCTTCATATGTTCCCCCAGGCCAAGTCGCTTCACTCCTGGAAGTCTGCTTGTTCCAGCAGGACTCCTGTCCCTCCCAGGAGGCAGTGGACAATCCATCAGAGATCTCAGCAGGGAAAGAAGGAGTGGATTTGAGGTCCAAGAGGAAGCTATCTTGGAGGGTCTGCTTGGTCGCCTTCTTGCTTTTCCTCTTCTGATTCTCTGGGGTCCTGTTACTCTCTCCTTGCCTGGGCTGGCTACTCTCAAGCTTCCTGGTTAGCTGGAGGAGCTGATCCATGTCCTTGGTGAATTCCAGCAGCGTGCCCTCCCAGACACTTTGGGCAGGTCTCTCAGAGCCATAGTTGGGAGCTTTCTCTAAGAGCAGGTGCTCAGAGCAATGGAGGCCTTCCGGGCCCTCCCTGAGCACTGGCTCAGGCACTGGGGGCAGGCTACAGGAACTCATGGACAGGGAGAAGTAAGAGTAGTCCACTGCAACATACGTCAGCATGAAATTGATGGTGACGATGGGGGCCAGAATGTTCACCTGACCCACAAGGACAAAGGCCATGGTCACCAAGCTGGTCAGGCAGATGGCAGCCACAGGTGTTTTGTTTGGCCCCTTCTGCAGCAACAAAAATAACATTCAGGACCATAAAATTTCAGATAGAACGATTCAGAGATTTCAGAAGTTATAGGATAGAAACACCGCTCATAATGGCTCAGCCACTTCTCCCCATCTGGTTGTTCATCTATAAACCTGAAATAATAATATTCAACTCATGGGGTTACTGTGAGATCAGAGTTCATACATGTGAAATGCTTCACATACACTGACATGCAGCAGGCTCCACAGATATTAGTTGGATTAGTAACTTTTTTTTTTTTTTAAGGCAGGGTCTGGCTCTGTTGCCCAGGTGGGACTGCAGTGGTGTGATCTCAGCTCACTGCAAACTCTGCCTCTTGGGCTTAAAGCCATCCTCCCACCTCAGCCTCCTGAGTAGCTGGGACTACAGATGCACATCACCACGTGTGGCTAATTTTTGTATTGTTTGTAAAAGGAGTTTTGCCATATTGCCCAGGCCAGTCACAAACTCCTGAGCTCAAGCAATCTGCCCACCTTGGTCTCCCAAAGTGTTGGGATTATAGGCATGAGCCACCGCGTCCGGCCTGTATGAATAACTATGAACATGGGGCATTATTATAGAAGGTTGACATCCCAAATATTTCCTCCTTTTGTCTTTCATTCGGTTTTAATACCAGCATAGAAAATCAAAGAGACACAAAGTTGATTCTTCCCAGCAAGAGGCAGATTCCGGAAGACACAGCAGAATCACTGGCGGCTGGAGGAGGGGAATTCTGACACTAAACATGCACACATGCTCATGCACACATATTACACACACCTGTTATTCATGGAGGTGGCTATGGTGACCTTCAGGTGGATAGGAGTGGAGAAAAGGTGCTAGCTGCCACTCCCAGGAGCTCATCACAGTCACTGACATAGTTCTCGGGCCAAAACAACAGTCACTTCAGTTCCTGTGTTCTTCGACCCAGCTGGCTACTCACTCCTCTTTGAGACCCTTTCTTTGCCTCACTTCTCCTGATTCACCTCCCTCTTCACTGACTGCTCCTTCTTGGGTTTCTGCGGCTGGCTCTTCACATCCCTGAATTCCGCAGTTAAAGCAGCCCTGGGCTCCATCCTCAGACCTCTTCTCCCTCTGTACTCCCTCCCTTGGTGAGCTCAACTAGGCTCATGGCTTCGAATACCGGCGTTATACTGACGGTTTCCCAATTTGAATCTCCAGCCTAAAACATTCACCTGAAAGCCAGTCTTACATATCCAACTGCCTACTCAGCATTGCCAGTGGATGTCTAATAGGATCTCAAACTATGTCCAAAACAAAACTGCATTTTTGGTGGAAGGTAAAGGAAGAAGTCAAGGATAAGTTCCAACAATGTGTTCCTGAAACCGGAGGGAGGCTGCAAATTGGAAGTGGATGGGGAGGCCGTCAGTGGTACCCCAACAAGACAAAAATAAACTGCAGCTTGCAAACCATCTTATTGGGAAGTGGGAGTCTCTGTTTATGTCTCTTTGGTCCTCTCCTAGGTTACAGGAATGTCTATTTTAATCATTCCAGCCATGACTCAACTAAGCTGTCCTTTATGTATCAGTTAAGGTTTGGTTTGCCATGGTTAACAGGAACCCTAGAGGCCAGAGGTATGAGAAATCATCAAACAGCAACCCCCAAGGGGCAGGTGAGGCTTCAAGGGCACTTAGAGCTGCAAGAACCAGCTCGCCTCCTGACCAAAACATGCTTTCTTCTATGCTTACCCTGGAAGATTGGAATTCATTTTTATTAAAGGATGGGGCACTGCATTTTTATGCTGCTCAGGGTTGAAGATGTTGCTGAGACTGGTTAGCTAAACCAGTGCACAGTGGCACAGTGGCTCTTGCCTGTAATCCCAGCACTTTGAGAGGCCGAAGTGGGCAGATCACCTAAGATCAGGAGTTCAAGACCAGCCTGACCAACATGGAGAAACCATGTCTCTACTAAAAATACAAAATTAGCCGGGCATGGTGGCCTATTCCTGTAATCCCAGCTACTCAGGAGGCTGAGGCAGAAGAATCACTTGAACCCCGGAGGTGGAGGTTGCAGCGAGTGAGATCGTGCCATTGCACTTCAGCCTGGGTGACAGAATGAGACTCTGTCTCAAAAAAAAAAAAAAAAAAAAGTGCTAAAGGGGCTAAGGGGCTGGGTGGCTGTGACATTTAAGATGCTTCATCTACTTGGCCCTAACCTAAGCCAGCCAGAGGAAAGGGCTGAAAGAAATGACCTCTGCATTCTTTTCTGTGTCACCCCAAAGAAGATCAGAAGCTAAGATCAGAAAAGCTTAACCAATTATGAGCCAACAATCAAGTTAGCAGCCAAACATGTTTCTCAAAAAAAAAAAAGGCGGATGACTCACCCCTTGTCCCAGACAGGCAAGTGCGGGGATCACTTTCTCCTGAGCAATGCATTGCAGGATGCGGGGAGCTCCATAAAGTCCTCCCATACAGGAAGCCAGGGACGAGATGTATAAGCCCAAAAGGAACAGGAAGCCCACGAGGGATACCTATGTGGGAAGCGGTTTTATTAGCCGGTGCCAGAGCCTGTTCCTGTGGCTTTCTACTCCCCCAGCACCCACCCACCTGCACCCCAAGCAATCATCCACTGAGTCCTCTAGATCCGATCTCTGGGATACAGTTTCCACATTCCCAGCCTCACCCCCATTCATTCCATGATTTCAGCTGAATCCACCACCACATTTCATATGGACTGCACAGTGGTTCTCAAATGAAGTGTCTGCCAGACTCAGCTGCAGGGCTTGCTAAACACAAATTTCTGGGCCCCCTCCTAAGAGTTTCTGGTTCAGTAGGCTTGGGGTGGGGCCTGGAAATTTGGATTCCCCGCGTGTTCCCAGAGACCACACTTTGAGAACAAACTGGCCAACTACAATGCTCATTGGCCTCTTGCCTTTAAGCTCACCCTTAAAGATGAGCTTAAATCATTCAGATGATTCACTCTGAATCATCCCATAAGCCTCTGCGGGAGTGACCTCTCTGAACTCAAATCTGATCACACTGTCTCCATTGCAGACCTATCAAAGGCTCCCCCTGCCCTGACATGTAAGGTTCTTCATCGTCTGTGATCTCTTTAGCCCCACACCCTGCACACTAAGAGTCTAATCAGCATGATTTTTCTGCCTGTAAGAAGGCTCTGTCCACACCCACTAATCTACTCATTGTCTGTTAAACTCCTAATGTGCTTCAAAATTCAGCGCAAACCTCACCACCACTGTGAGGCCATCCCCAGTTCCCCTGACTACAGTAGCCACTTCTCAGTGCTCCACAGCATCCCAAATGTGATGTTACCACAGCGCCTATCATGGTGCCCCCTCCACTAATCTGGAGGCTTCCTTTAAGCAGGTCTTCTGTCTTGTTTACCCTAGAATTCTTAGTGCCCAACACAGAAATATAAATGCTGAATGAATGAATGATATCCATGATCCACAAGGCACCAACAGATAGAATAACAGGGCACAGCTGTTCTTGGTGCCAACTTGCAAAAGATTGGGGTCCAAGGCCTTACTAGGACTCGTCAGCTAACCCAGTGCTAAAAGTGCTAAGGGGCTGGGAGGCTGCATGGCTGCTTGCCATGAATTCACCCTTCTGGGCCAGACCTCATCTGTACTCACAAGGAAGCAGCTTTGTTTTCTTATTTGAGGTGCCCTCTCCATTCTACTTTACTTTAGGCACAGGGGCCAGAACTATACATTCCAAGTACTCATGTGTCCAGTGCTTACAGACAGGTTAGATTTAACATTCAGCTTTGTCACCTGAACCCTTCTTGATGAAGGCTCTCCTCGCCCCATCTTTTACTTCCTTGCATCAGCAAAGCACTGGATGCGTGTCATCAAGCTACACTGAACACAAGCCGCTGGCTAGACCTCTCTCCTGGCTCATAAATTATCACTGGAACAATTTGACTAACTGATGAATCTCACATCAGTCAGGACAGCTGATTGGGGAAAAAAAAAAATACTTTGCTTAAAAAAGAATATATTTGTAGGATGCTCAAGGTTCATAGAATCATCAGGAGACTAAAGGATGAGCCTCAGGAAAGGGCAGAGCCAAATCTGGAGGCATACCCAGCCTCTTCCCCAGGAACAGCTTGGCCAAGACACCGCCAGCACCCCAGCTGCCCTGTGGACGAATTCTCACCAGCTCTTCATCTCTGCCTCATTGGTTACAGTGTGAGCACGCAATGGTCTCGTGTAGGTCATGTGCCCTATCAGGGCTGCAAAGGGACAAGCAAGAGAGGTCTGGTCCACTGGGCTTCTATTATGCAAAATGGGGGGTACTCCCTTCAAGACCATTGGGTGGAATAATCCCCAAATGGTCAGGAAGGTCAGAGGCTTGACGGACAAGAATAAGGTCCACTGTGGAGTCCACCTTGTCTTTAATTCAGTGTTGATTATTTTCCCCTAACTTTATCATCTCACTCTTATCCCCAAAGAATCTCACCTGTCTCTTTTTTCCATGTCACAGGTTTCTTGGGTTTGTCCGGCCCACCCCACTCACCATTTTATTACTACAAGAAATCAATGTTGTCTAGTGTTTCCAGCACTTTATGTGATCTGATGGCATTTTGTTACCTTCTGTCCTGTGGGATAGTTAGTTATGCTCATGGCTTACCCTGCCAGCACCCTGAGCACCTCACAGATAGAACTGTATCATGCATCCTGGCTCCCTTCCTCTAGCACCTCATACAGAATCTGGCAAACAGAGCTCAGCCGCTGAATCCACGCAGCCTCAGGTCTTCGCTGTGATCATGCCCCAGGTACCTTACAAAACTGTTAGATACGCTGGGTCCATGATCAATCCTCAATCCATTCTGAGATGTGTATCTGTGACCTTTATTTCTGTCTTCTCTACCAAATGCATCCTATGTTGACTGGTTTTTAAAAAGTAGATTCTATAACAAAATTTTAACAAGAAAGAGCCTTTTGAAAATTTAAGTCAGTAGTTCTCCACTCTAAATGTAAGAATCGCCCAGAAATTCTGATTTAATTAGTATAGAGTGAGACACAGATGTGGTTGATGTTTAGAAAGCTCTCCAGGTGGTTCAAATGTATGGCAGATGTCGCGAACCACTGGGCATATATTGCATTCTCCCCTCAAAAAATTCTTTGGGAAAGTTAGGCAAGGTATCTCCTTGCAGAAATTTCACTTCTTCTTACCTAAAAGATTACATATATTTGATTTTTTTAAAACTCTTTTTCATTTAAAGCCTATTTACTCAGAACAAGAATGAGTGGAAATGCCCCAACCTGGCATCCTCCTAATGCTGGACTGACCTCAGGAACTGGGTGAACCTCTGGCACTATCAGTACACGATACGGTGGCTTCCATCTTTGACCAGCCTTCCCAGAGATACACCCTGGGATTCCTCCAGAACTCTAGCAGCTGGGGTCAGACAGGGCCAGGTAGAGCAACTGGTTTATGTCCCATTTGTCAATTGTGTAACATGATCTGATCACTCACCACTTTTTAAAAATATAAACTATGATTCAGTCTGTTTGCTGAATAATACATGAAATGTTTGTCCCCACATCTAGACAAATTATAAAAACTTCATTCCCTCTCTCTCCTGCCTAAATCCTGTATCTTTCTTTCATTTGTCATCCACCCATCCATCCATTTAAGCAGCATTTCCTGAGGACAGGTTATGTTCCTGGCATGGTGCTAGGCAGAGCAAGGCTTATAGACACAATGGCGAACCATGCAGCTCTGCTCCCAGCCCTCACAGAGCTTAATCGTTTTCGCTACTCATATCAGACTGAAAACTTGCGAAACGTGCCAGTGGAGGTAGAAGTGAGAATTTATTTGAGAAGAGGTGTGTCAACAGTTCTTTTTAAATAAAAAGTGATTCCCTGCTGGCATCCACCTGTTTGAGCCATCACCCCACCAAAAAAAAAAAAAAAAAATTCTTTCCAAAATATTCCATGGAGCGTGAATTACCCTGATTTCTTTTTTCAGTAACTACTGATGAAAACAATTACTTCCATCTCTCTGCTCTTATTATTTTCTCCCAGCTCCCATTCGAGCTTCGGCCATTGAGGGACTCCACTCATTCACTGGCTGCTCTCTTCTCTTGAAGGGCTGGATTTAAAGTCATTTGCAAGGGGCCCGTTCTGTCTCATCTAATTCCAGTGGCCCCCTGACATCACTGAGGAGTACATCCCGAAACCCTCACAATCCCAAGTGTATTAATAAGGCCATGTCTCAACAACGTTATGGTTTTTTTCTCCCACATCTCATTTCCGCAGAGTCATCAGTTTCCTAACACTCCACACTCCATGAATTGACCAACATCTCAACTTTCGGTTAACTTTTACCTCTCACTTGAGAGCCATTTTCCATAGACTGCTTCCTTTCCTGAGAGGCACGACTGTGTTCACGATGGAGGACAGAGGACCCTCAGGCTGGCCCACTCACAGGTGCCAAGCGGCCCAGGAGACTCACTCCCCTGTCACCAGTGCCGTCCCATTCCCATCTTCCCTGTACAGCTTGTGTCATGGGCTTCCAAGGTCCCTCTTGAATACGTGGAACCATGACTATTAAATCCAGGAATCAGACGTTGCTCTGGCGGATTCCCTAGTTTTTTGTTTTGAGACCGAGTCCCGCACTGTTCCCCAGGCTCGAGTGCAGTAGCTCAATCTTGGCTCACTGCAACCTCCGTCTCCTGGGTTCTAGCGATTCTCCTGCCTCGGACTCTTGAGTAGCTGGGACTACAGGTGTGTTATCACCATGCCTGGCTAATTTTTGTAATTTTTGGTAGAGACGGGGTTTCACTGTGCTGGCCAAGCTGGTCTTGAACTCCTGACCTCAGGTGATCCACCTGTCACGACCTCCCAAAGTGCTGGGATTAGAGGCATAAGCCACTGCACCCAGCCAGATTCCCTAGTTTTAATAACAATGCTTTTGGGATATTTTTCCTTCTTAGATTGCTCTTATTTTGCTAGTTAGCAAGCCTCAGGGCTGCTAAGGTACTTGGTCTTTTTTATTTGTAAGAAACATCTGTTTCCTGGACTGTATACAAGTTTATTTTAAAACATTTAATCTATTTAATTTCACCCCAACTAACACTGTACAATTCTTTTTATAACTAAATAATACTGAGATTGACTATTTTGGCTTTTAATATTTAATTAAATATGGTGGATTTGTGGGGAGAAAATGTGTTCCTAAAATAAATGTGTTGATCTGTAAGGGTATGCCCATAAGGACTATGGGAGTTAAAATTTAATTAGCACCTACTATGTGCCAGGCAAAATTTATTATAATTAGCACCTACTACATGCTTTTCATGGGTTATCTCAGAGCCACAACCATATAGAAGGCTTTTAAGAATGCCCATACATCTGACAGCAAGTTCCTCTGGGGAGGGGATTGAAAGTAAAAAGATGCTTCTTAGAGAAACTGAATTGAGAAGCTAAATAATTAGAAATAGAGCAGAGAAGCTGCAGGAAACCCAGAAAGAAACAGATTAACTGATCAGCTGCCGATCAGTAAAAAGGAATCCAGGGCAGCCTGCAGCCATTGAAGATCATTGTTCTGGCAGAAAGCCCCCGAGAGAAAGAAAGAGGAGTGCACTGGAGAGCTGCCTGAGAATGAGCGCCAAAGAGAGTGTGCCAGAGACCTGCCCTGTCTCAGCGGCCAGAGGTGAGAAGAAAGACGAGGCCTTGCTTTTTTCAGGCCCAGGAAAGCCCAGAAATGTGCTGGCTCCGAACTGAAGCCACAGCTAAGAAAGGAAGCTGAGATGAACAGGTTATCGGGGTGGCAAGTTGTGTCAAGTGACCAAGGAAAGAGACTCCACACTGGCCCCTGTGTAGCTTTCCCCTCCCGTTCTCTGGGTACTGCCAGTAAAAACATCTGTGGCCCAGTTTACTGCCCGAGCACGGTACCTGCTACCGCAGCAGAGTCAGTCAGAAGGAGAAAAGGTGTGGGAGGAAACTCCTGTGTGGCCTCCTTTAGGGGTAGATGGCGGGAAGCGGAAGACCGAGGTGCTGCTATTTTGCCATCATCAGGGGTGATTCCACCACTGCTCACTGACTTGCTGCACCCACCCGTTTCTACTGAGAACCAAGAGCAGTAGCTTTGCTCCTTTATAGGCTTTACAACGGCCTATTCCAGGAAACAGTCTCTTGTCCTCTCCAAGAACTCAATCTCCACTTTTCATCCCAGTGTGCGAGTTACATTCCCACGTGCTATTGCTGGGCCTGATGCAGCAGGTGGTCCCACGTGGCTAAGTGCTTGCCTAGCTGCTCACGGTCAGGACAGGTGGCATTCCAAAGGAGGCTCCCCCCGTCCGTGTGCCTATTATTGGGTGTGTGATTTCCACCCACAAATGTGCTCTCGTGCTGTCTCTGGGCTGTTTTTACCCTTACTTAGATACAAAGCTGCCTGCCCTCCCACATACCCACTCTGAGCTTTCCTTTGCCAAGCAGGGGAAGGAGAGGAAGGAGGTGCTACGACCCAGAGGATCATCAGGTCAGAGTCTCTAAAAGGTGGAGGGACCTCGGTGAAGGAAAGCAGGAGAAAGGAGCTTTAGAAGCAGGCAGAGCTGGCCGGTCACTGGCAAGCTGCCGACAGCAGGAAGCACTTCCCCCAGTCAAACCAGCCTCACCCAGGCTGCTCCCTGAGGCCTTCAATGCCTGTAATGCAGCCAGGCTTTTCATTCCATAGCTAGAGAACAGACCCTTGGGAGTGAAACTCCAGACGGAAGCACACATGTAGATACAAATGAGGGCTACATACTCCTGCCTAAGAGCAAACCTTGCCACCTGGGGGTCTGTGACCTTGGGTTATGGAAGGTGGGTATCCGTTCTCCCACTAACTGAACGGCACCGCCTTTCAAAAAACGTGCCTTTATACTAAGGTCAAGACCCCTGAAAACAAATAATCACCTTTGCATGGATGCCTACAAGCCTTAAAAAGGAACCTGTGCTATTGTGAAAACCAAGCTCAAATGTATCTCTCAAAAGAAAATTCAGAGGTTCCTGCCTCAGGTTGCCCCAGGCACTGGCCTTCCATGAAGATCGGCAGGGCTGCTTTGCAAAGCCTCACACGGAGAGAAAATGGTATTCTATCCTAAAATATAGGAGCTCATGCCTGTAATCCTAACACTTTGGAAAGCTGAGGTGTGAGGATCACTTAAAGCCAGGAGTTCAAGACCAGCCTGGGCAACATGGCAAAACCCCATCTCTACAAAAACATTTTTAAAAAAATTATGAGTGTGGTGATGTGTGTCTGTAGTCCTGGCTACTTGGGAGACTGAGTTAGGAGAATCACTTGAGTGAGCCCTGGAAGTTGAGGCTATAATGAGCCATCTCCAAGTCACTGCCCTCTAGCCTGGGTGACAGGGTGAGATTCTGTCTTGAAAAAGTTAAATTTTTAAATTAAAAAATACATAAAATATAAGCAGCGCTACTCAGGAGTTAACAGAAAAACTCCCTAGCCAACTACATTTCTCTGAAAAATAACGGGAATCTCAGGGTCTACTTTTTCTCCAAGAACTTAAAGGAGGGTAGGAGTTTTTGGGAATTTCCAGAAAATGTCTGGAAATCTTACTCATATGGGTTCTAGGATGTCCTTGAAACTAATAAAACCTGATATCCAAATAAATGTCCTTGATGTCACATGACCTCCAGCCTGCTAACTGTGGTGGAACGCCAGGGGTTCACTAATCTTCTCCTGGCAGGGTGCGGACTCTAGAAACAAAGATGTTGCAGCCAAATCAGCCTGGAGCGTCCGAGATTCTCAGGAAAGCCAAAGGGGTCAAGGGCCTCAGAGACAAGGAGGGCCTTGGCGCTCACCCAGGTCCTGGGCTTCCTCCCGCTCCCTCCACCTCTGCCTGTCTCCAGCCTCCTTCTCCACTTGCTGCTTCTGAGCAGCACTTTCTCTTCTTCCTGGAAGGTGACGCTGTTAGCAAAAGCAAGGAACTTGCTTAGCCGGGAATTTGGGGCAACCAGATTCTTCTGTTTCTATCCTAATTTTCGACAGGAAGAGATGTCCCCATTATCTAGCCCCTCGTATTTGTGAGTCTCTCTGGGCATCGTTATCTGTTTCTAGAGATCCCCAAGCCGAGCCTGTACCTTCTCCATCATCTCTCTTCCCCACCACAACCCCATCCTTGATTCCTGGGCTTGAGACTATATGTAGGCCCGGCACCGTGGCTCAAGCCTATAATCCCAGCACTTTGGGAGGCTGAGGCGGGAGGATCACTTGAGGCCAGGAGTTTGAGACCAGCCTGAACAACATGGTGAGACCTCATCTCTACCAAAAAATAAAAATAAATTAGCCCGGCATGATGGTTTGTCCCAGCTACTTGGGGGTCTGAGGCAGGAGAATCGCTTGAGCCGGAAGGTTGAGGCTACAGTGAGCTGAGATTGCAACACTGCACTCCAGCCTGGGCAACGAAGTGAGACCCTGTCTCAAATAATCAATTAATTAAATGTTTATAAGACTATATGATTTCCCAGATAGTACCACAAGGGGAAGGTGGCCATTTGTAGGTGAGAACAAATAAATGACTGCAACAGACTGAGCCCTCTGAGTAGCACAGGACTCACTCACCTTTTCGGCTATCAGGAAGTCATAGCGAAGGGCCTCTCGAGTGCAGATGGCGCCCAGGAGGAAGACGAAGACGATGTACAGAAACCACCTGCAAAACCCAAGAGCAGAGCAGAGCTGCCCCCTACTCGCCTCACCCAGCCGCATCCACTCCCCCCACTCAACCTTCCATTTCCTATGGGAACCTGCCTCCGAATGACAGAAAGGCCAGTCATGAAGCCTCCCCAGTTGGCTTGGGAGGACACTTTCTGTACTATTTCTCTTCTGGCATATTTCTTACCAAAAAAGGGGTACCATTTTTTTTTAATGTACATATATAAAAATGTGGAAGGCTTCATGAATTTGCATGTCATCCTTGCACAGAGATCATGCTAATCTCTTTATTGTTTTAATTTTAGTATACGTAATGCTGAAGTGAGTGCTATTTTATCTCATTCTTACATTAAAAAAGAAAAACACACAAAGGCATTCAGAGTAGGAAATCAGGAGGCCCAGTTGCCTCTAGGATGCCAGGATTCAGGCCAGGGTTGCCCAGCAGCCTCACAGCCCAGCCTCCTACAGCAAAAGAACAAGTTGATGATCCGTCAGGCCTCTAAGTCCCGCTGCATCAAATAAAGAGGAAAAATAAAGTCACAAGGCAGAAAGCAGTGGCCTGGCTCTGTCCCCAATATGCCCTGTAACCCTGAAAAAGACACAGGTTCCTGTGGTCTCCTCACTCCCATCCTGACCCAGGGTGGGCCAGGGGTTCCTCCTAGAACCTCCCAGCTGGAACGAGAAACAAGACAGGATCCTCATACAGAACCCTCTTTATTTCCTTCCCAACACTCAAGTCTATCTCCATTGTCTTTATTTTCTTCCCAATGTGATTGCCTTATTTTGCACAAAATAGCCTGATACTCTGCATCAGGCTGATAGCAATGGTGTCACTGCAATGAGCTAAGAGCAAATTCAGTGTTTGTGAAACAGCTACATTAATATTTTCTAAATACTGTGGTTAGAATAACACAGGCCCTTTTCACTTCTCAACTCATTATCTCTGGTCTCTGATCTCATTGCCTCTTTACACTCACCCAATGAAGGGCAGAGAAGTTTCTTCCTGTGGTACGGAGAGAAACAGAAGATTCTAAAAGGTCAGAAATAGACCCAAGTTTACCCAGCCTGCCCATGTGGGTGGCACAGTGTGAACTAAAGCCCCAGAGGCCTGATGGCCTGGGGCAGCTGGAGGGGACGCTCGCTGGGGGAAGGAGAGCTGGGTGCTGAGCTTCCACTGTGTGCCTTCTACTCTCTCCCCCACAGTCTATGAAGCACATACACTGTCATTATCCCCATTTCATGGGAAAGGAAATGGAGGCTCAGAGAGCTCAGAAAAGTGTCCAGAGTCATGCAGCCAATCAGCGGCAGAGCTGAGATGCAAGCCCGAATTCATCTGATTGCAAAACTCTTCATCTTTATCCTCCCTCCAATGATCCTGGAAACTTGGTGGTTAAAAATCCCCAAGTTCAACCAGTGGGGGTGGGGGGAGTGGAGAGGGTAATGGGGGTGGAAGGCTGAGGAAAGGAAAGAAAGGATTCGATCTGTGATCTGGGTCCTGACACTCCTCCTCGGCAGCATTCCCAGGCAGGGCGCATGAAAGGGCAGTGTCTGAACCCACCAGACGTGAATTTTCCAGCCCACCGAGTGTTAAAAGAAGAATCGTAATATGAAATACATTGGTCACAGTCGGGGCACTCTCAGAACAAAAGGGGCAATCTCCGCTTCTGCCTGGGGTTTTCTCTCCCACTCTCCAGCTCGAACTGGCTCGAACTGACTGCCATGAGGGGAACTTACGAGATGCCAACAGCTGCCAGGGAGCCCAGGGGAATGCTGGCGGCAGGCTCCCTGAGGTCGCCCCCCATGTTGAAGCCGGCCATGACTCCTGAAAGACACCCAGATGGGGAATGGGGTGACGCAGCCTCCTCCACGCATCGCCTCCCCCAGGGCCGCCCCTTCCACTCCTCCGGGACCCTCTCCTGGAAGCTGTCCCACGGCAAGCCCACCAGCTGCAGCTCTGCACGCAGGCTGCTTCTCAATCTCCCCTGGCAACCAGGGAGGCATCCCTGTGGTGTGAAAGGGACTTTTGTGGGTTAGGGGAGGCTCAAGAGGAAGGCCCTCCCAGCTCCAAAAGCATCCTACCGCTCAGAGCAAAGCAACCAGGGAAGGAGGAAGGCCGCTTGCAAGGCACACAGAGGTCCTGGGCTGCTTGCTGAGCTGGGACAATGCCCTGGAGAGGCTCAGCATTACAGAGGTCTGGCAGCCTCCTGCTCAGCGGCTTTCCCTGCCTCTGCTGCCTGCTGATTGATTCCATGGGAGTGTCCTGTGTCCTTGGGGGCAGGTGCCACCCTCCAAGCCCCTGAGCTACCCGAGGGTTTGAAATAAACTCCAAAAAAACCCAATTCTGATGCCACTGACATGGAGTCACAAGCTCCTTTTCATCATCACCTCTCTTCTGCAAGAACACGAATGAAAACGAATTCATCCAGTGAGGGACCCACAGCACAGTGCTGCATGGTGAGGTGAGGTGGGGATGTTTCTTCTTCCCATACAAACAAATATATGAAAGCAACAAGACAAAGTGTTCTGAACATCGGGTGAAGATCCAGCCCACAAGTGCCCTAACAACTCAGAGTGATGGGCTGCCCTGGTCAGGTAAGCCCCCTAGATGGGGTGCATCTTGAATGTGGCCTTGAAAGAGAGATTCAAATGGGCTTAGGGATAGGAATGAATCTAACACCATGATTTGTCAACACTTTCAACCTGCCTGGGCCTGTGTCAAGTGCTTTACATGCATTTTAAAAATCCTGTTTAATTCTCATGACAACCTCATCAAAAAAGTAGAATTATTTCCTCATATTACAGAAAAGTGCTCAAAGAGGTTAATTAAAACAGCCTAAGGTCACACATTTAATAAGTGGCAAAGCTAAGATTCAACCCTGGTCTGTCTGACTCTGAAAATTATGCTCTTAATGCCTCTGCTATAATGCTTCGCAGAATCCAAGTAAAGCACAGTGAAGTGACAGTTTGGAACCAGAAAGTGAAAGTGGCAGCAGGGAAAAGAGGGTAGGTGTTTCAGAGAGAAGCTTGAATGCTGGCCCACGGATGCGGCTGCCCATACTATCACCCAGCAACTCTACTACTCGTAGCCTTGACTATCGACTTTGGATAAAGTAGTAGAGTTTATCCAAAGTTGATAGTCAAAGCTATGAGTGAAGATTTAGCCCAGCATGTTTATAAATGCTTGTTTAGAGTACCGGAAATGAGAAACAACCTCATGTCTAAAGATAGAGGATTGGTGATATAAGTGATGATACAGCTTTCAATAAATACTAGGTCTCAGAATATTGTAAGAGATATGCTGTGACATGGAAAGATCTTTAGAAGATTTTGCTTAGTTTTAAGAAGCATGTTAGAATACAGAACACATATGGTATGAGCCCATTGTTATAAAAGTATATAGAAAAAGGAACTTGAACATGTTTTAAAACATTAACAATGTTATTTCTGGGTGACAAAATAACACATCATTTTTATTTGATGGCTTGTATTTTCTTAATTTTCTACAATGATCATTTTGAAACATAGGAAAACTAACTTTTAAGGTTTTGTTTTGTTTTTTTTTAACGCCATGTTAGGCACATTCTCTTTCCTTTTATTCCTCTCCTCTCCAAGACCCTATTAAAAGCATAGTAAAGGAGAAAAGTGGATAAATTCCTATAAGCAAAGAAAAGCTGGGAGGGAGACCCTAAGCAGATGGAAGGTTCCCACAGATGTCTGGAACATAGAACACAGAAAATGGAGAACATGATACAGAGGAAAAGGGAAGGAAAGCAAGCCTTGGAACGCTTCTCTACAAGATCTGAATGTAGTGAGGAAAACCAGGGCTGGATGTTTGCACTCCAAATGAATCCCTGCTCAAGAATCAACAGCACTCACAAACTCTTCTCATCAAGGTAGGGCCCCAGCATGGAGACAGACCTAAACGCATGAGAGCAGGGGAAATCCATGCCCGCAACCAAGGTCACCCGACGTGTGATGAAAACCAGCAACAAATAAACAAATATATATACAAATAGAAATAGAACAACCCATACTGGAAGAAACGTATAAATCAGAATACAGAGAGAATTAAAAGAAAATACTAACTAGTAGCTCCAGATACATCCTAGAAGAATATTCTATCTATAAAACAAGGTGTTATGGAAAAAAAAAATCCAAGAACAAGAAAGAACTTTTGGAAATGAAAAATACGATCACTAAAATTTAAAATGCAATAGATTTAAGGGCCAGGCGTGGTGGATCGTGCCTATAATCCCAGCACTTTGGGATGCCAAAGCAGAAGGATCACTTATGGCTGGGTGTAGTGGCTCACACCTGTAAACCCAGCATTTTGGGAGGCCAAGGTAGGCAGATCATCTGAGGTCAGGAGTTTGAGACCAGACTGACCAACATGGTGAAACTCTGTCTCTACTAAAAACGCAAAAATTAGCCAGGCATGATGGTGCACACCTGTAATCCTGGCTACCCGGGAGGTTGTGGTAGGAGGATCGTTTGAGCCCGGGAGGTGGAGGTTGCAATAAGCAGAGATCATGCCATTCACTCCAGCCTGGGTGACAGAGCTCTGTCTCAGGACAAAGAAAAAGAAAAAGAGAAAGGAAGGAAAGAAGGAAGGAAGGAAGGGAGGGAGGGAGGGAGGAAGGGAGGGAGGAAGGGAGGGAGGGAGGGAGGGAGGGAGGGAGGGAGGGAGGGAAAAGAAGGAAGGAAGAGGAGGAGGAGAAAAGAGGAAGGAGGAGGAGGAGAAGGGAGGAGAAGGGAGGAAGAGGGAGGAGGAGGGGGAAGAGGAAGGAGGAGGGGGAGGAGGAGGAGGGGGGAAAGGGGAGGGGGGGGGAGGGGGATCCCTTGAGGCCACAAGTTTGAGACCAGTTTAGGCAACACAGTATCTCTTCATAAAATAAAAAAGTTATCCAGGCATGGTGACAGATACCTGTAATCCCAGCTACTCAGGAGGCTGTGGCAGAAGGATCTTGAACTCCTTGAACCCAGGAGTATAAGGCTGTGGTGCGCTATGATCACACCACTGTACTCCAGCCAGGGCAACAGAGTGAGACCCTGTCTCTAAAACAAACAAACAAATACAAAGATTTGAAAGATAAAGTTAAGTAAATATCCCAGTATTTAAGACAGAAAAGTAAAGAAATAGAAAATACGGGTGAAATAGAGGAGAAATTTTGGAGTTATAACAACCAACTAACAGGATATCTAGAAAGAGAGAACAGAGAAAAAAGAAAATAACCAGACAGACAAAAGAAATTCCCCCTAGCTGAAGATAGAAAATTCCCCCTAACTGAAGATAGAAGTCTTCAGATTGAAATATCCCACCAAGTATCCAGCACAAAGAATGAAAAAAAAAAAAAAAAATCTATACCTAAATGCATCATTGTGCCATTATTTCAGGAGAAATCCTAAATGCTTCCAAAGATTAAAACATTTACAAAGCAACAAAAATTAGATTGGCATCAGACTTATCAGCAACACTGAACATTAGAAAACAATGGAGTACTAATTTTAAAATTCTGAGGGAAAATTATGAGACTGTATTTTAGCTAGATTACCAATTGAGTGGTTAAACAGACAAGAGTTCAGGAAATTTACTTCTCCCATACCATTTCTAAGGAAGATACTAAAGTATGTTTTCCAGCAAAATGAGGATGTAAACCATGAAGGAGAAAAACGTGAGATTTAGAAATCAATGGTGATAAATGAGGAATGCAGTGAAGTTCCAGAATTAAGGGCTGTACGGCAGAGAAACTACCAGGGATTAAAGCAAAAAATGTAGGCTCCAGGAGGGATGCCTCTGGAGAGGAAATGCCTTCCGCACAATGGGCAATATAATTAAACTAAATGATTTTTAGGATATACTGACTGCACATTTTGGCAACAACATAAAAAGAAAAGTTATTGAAACTCCAGGAAAAGTGAACAAGAAAGTTAAGGTTTACAAATAGCTAGAAGGGGGATATTGAATGTCTCCTATACAAAGAAATGGTCAATGTTTGAGTTGATGGATATGCTAATTACTCTGATCTGATCAGTATACACTATATGTATGACTACATATCCCAAAAATATGTACCATTGTTATGTTTCAATTTAAAAATTTTAAAATTAAAATTAAAATCTTAAATTTTAAATCTAAATTTAAAAAATAAAAATTTAAGTTAAGAATTAAAAAAAGAAAGGTAAGGTGTAAGTATGAAGCAAACCAAAATGTGACATGATTTTAAACAACTAATAGAATGTTAGAAAAATTCTCTCATTTGACCGTGGTATAGGAACTTTCTCTCCTAAATGGCACAAGAACCATATGAGAATCACAGTGAAGAAAATGAAATTCTACCCCCCCCCCCCCCCGCTTTGCTCTTCAGTGAGCAACAGCTGCAGAGTCATAATCCTGTATTTGCTTATTGTTCTTTAACTTCTAAAACTGGCCTATTCGCAGAGCACAAAGGACATAACCATTGACATGGTTTGGATCTGTGTTCCTGCCCAAATCTCACGTTCAATTGTAATCCCATGCTAGAGGTGGGGCCTGGTGGGAGGGGATGGGATCCTGGGGGTGGATCCTTCAGGAATGGTTTAGCACCATCCCTTTGGTGCTGCTTTTGTGATAGAGTTCTCACAAGATCTGGTTGTTCAAAAGTGTGTGGCACCTCCCCTCTCTCTCTGGGTCCTGCTCCTGCCGTGTGAGGACGCCTGCTCTCCCTTTGCTTTCTGCCATGAGTAAAAGCTCCCTGAGTCCTCCCTAGAAGCAGATGCTGCCATGCTTCCTGTATAGCCTGCAGAGCCACCAACCAGTTAAATCTCTTTTTTATACATCATCCA